ATAAAAACACCAACAAAAAAAAGCCCCCCCCCCCCCCCCCCCCATCTCTTCTGTTTATTAATATTTTAATCATATCCACTCATGCTTTAGCTGGCAATAATTTAGACAATATATGCTGGTCAAGCATATTAGACATTGACCACTGGTCAATCTACAGAATCTACACCTATATCAATAATATTATTTAATAATTCACTGCACTGTGACTTATTCATTGGTCATTCAATAATCAAATATGCTGTGCATGTGCATAATACAAGCACCCTGCAACCATGAGTACATGTGTACATGTATCCAAAGGTAGCAATTAATTCATAACACATCTTCTGCAGTTTTATAGTGTTGGCAAATAAATCTTTATTGGGCAATAAACCTGACACTGAGGCCAAACACTTAACATTTCATTCAACCCTTCTCCAGTGGCATACCGCGATACGCAGCAACCACAGGTGAGCGTCATTTTCACCTGTGAAGGAGACCAAAACAGGTGTCATGATCAAGAATGAAACCTGTATGGTTCTTTATCCTTACGCTTTAGACCAGTGCTATTAACCCTGTCATATTAATCGGATTAACAACCGGCAATGTGTGCAGAATAGTGGCATTTCAGCCATTTTGTGAATGTAAAACCCGTGCTACCCTGCCCCCCTTCTTCGATGACAGATTGTATAGTGGTTATACCGCTTTTAACTTAGCAAAACCCATGGCAAAACAGTTGTATGACGTGACTAAAATTATTATTCTTCAGCATTTTACGTTGTCATGCGTACTTTTCGCTGATACTTAAGCATATATACGTACATACCTGTGATATGTATTGAAGTTGAGACTGTCACTTGATTTCACACACTACACACACCTGCAAGCCAATGACCTCAGAACCGTTTTTCAAGTTAGGTCAATAACATGAATACATCCGCGATAAATTGAACACCGGGTTACTGTCGTTCTTCTAAACACAAGCAGGTGCTTTTCAACCTCCTAACGCTCAGTCGTAGTGTATGGCTATCATTTCGTATGCCCTATGGATTTTTGGTGCTTCTAGGGGTCATTATAAGGTAGTGTTATTGTTACCTGGATATGCGGAATGATATACGCGCATGTTTGGTGACCTAGGACGTTCACAATCTCACTGGGTTGGGGTGTGGCAGGTTGGCCAGGCGTGGCTGTGCACTGAATATGAGTGTTCTGACACTTTTCTTTAAACTGTAAACTCCCAGTCTAGATGAAAAAGACGACCTGTAAGCGATCGAGAATGTTTGCAATCAAACGATGCAACCTGGAAACTGCAATTAGAATAACTTTATACTTTGTATATAATCAATGACGGATAATTAAAATTTTAATTAGCCGTTTTAATTACTTTGAACTTGGATGAATAAAACTTTTATATTTTATATATTTTTCCGAACTTTAGACAACGAAAAATTCAGGTTACACGTTGCCATATGATAAATCCCTTTTGAATACATGTACTCAAGTATATGAATGTAAATAAATTAATGTTTTGTCGTTTAAAATGGGGAGGGGTGGCAAAAACAAATGTATCAGCCCGACGTATATGGGCTCCTACTACTGTGCTTTTGCAGTGTATATCTTAACCTCTTATCCTGATCTGTCCCCGAATATATCACTATGTAAACACCAGAGAACCACCTGTCGTCTAATTTTATTTTTTTAGAATTACTTTGGCAAATAAACTGTAATCACTAAAAGGGGACACAAAAAAAGCGATATTTATAAATAGGCCTTAATATATATTTGCCTGCATTGGCATAATGATATTTTCAGAACATTTTAAAACGTTCAATATTACCTACTAAAGAAAAATAGTTTCCAATTAATTGCAACGTGTGTACCAGCACCCGAAAAAAGAAGGGTTACTTTTTTTTTTCATTGTGTTAGAGGTGTCAATGTCAACCTATTTTATTTTAGCCTGCCCTCCTGTAGCAATACTAGGCCTAAATTTTCTAACAGTTTCTATCGTTGATTATTCATTTTTTGCTGTGATGTTTTAACACCCAATTTCTATAATGTTTTAACACATAATGAAACATTCACAATGTTTTCCATCTTTAAACTTTTTGTGTAATCCAGTCTTGGCCCTTGCTTTTCTAGCAGTGCTTTTCTATTTACCGCTAGAGAGAATCATAAGCCCAATCCAGTTGATAATATGTATATGTATTAGCGTTATGATGATAGTAATCATAAAATTCATATAATTAACTACTCAAGTTGACAGGTATTACTTTTAAATTCAAATAAAATATTCGAATCTTTTGTCATTGGGCAGAAAGTTTAATCTGGTCAAATCATATTTTTTGAAAATATCGGTTTGGATCATAACTAAAACAATCATGGCGGCCGCCAATTTCAAATGATGTTGACGGCTTTTCAACTGTAATTTTGTGCACGGAAGCCGTTTTGCTGGTGCCGGTATTTAATAATGATTAACACCAACTCATCACTGGTATGTACAGGTTGTTATGCTGCAATATTATTTGAAAAAGAAGTAAATGTCAATAGGGACGGTACATTGGAATTTTTGTTCGTCCTTTTTATTTTTAGATGTGGCATTGACTATCTAGACCACTTAGTCTAAATTATCAATCTCGTGTGTAATAAATAATTAAACATTCAGTTTTAAATGTGAAAATAGATAATTTGATCCGATAAATACACGCACGCACACACACACACACACACACACACACACACACAGTCTTTTGTATAAATAGAGTTATAGAGACTACCCTGAGCAAATGAAAAATTTGCTGCAGTACTTATTTAGTTTGCTGGAAACAGTCTTGAGATTGTAATGTTATTGGTTTGACAGACATGATTGAATACTGTGGCATAATGAAAACTATTTTTAAAAAGTTAATTATAGAATTTTATAATAGAATGTGGTGCATATTCATATAATTGTACAATCATATCATGCTGTATACTAATGCATTTCCCATGTTTTCAGATTGAGAAGTGAAAAACAAATTGGAGGCGAGGACCTAGGAAGACATAACTGAAGTCTCACTAATAACTTTTCCTGCATTTTCTGTTCAAATTCAGCATGTCTTCAGCAGAAAGTAAAAGGCCAGTAAGACGAGCAATTCCAAGGTTAATGAAAATTGAAAATGCATGTAGTACAGCTAAGGATGGAAGTAAGAATAGTGTTGAAAATGTACGTCAACAATCTGCAACAATGCAGAAAAACCAGGGGCGGCGGTCAGTTTTACCTGGACCTGTCAGTGACAGGCTGACCAGACCTACCATGGCCTCAAGGTTGAAAAATGTGTCTGCAAACTTTCAAAATGAAAGTGATTTAAAACTAAAGGAAAATGATGTAAATGTTTCGAGTAGCAGTGATAGCCAGGTAAAAAAGCGGGTTCCTTCTGGACCAAAATCGAAGCCCCACCAGACACCTGGTGTCGTGAAGAGGAGAAAACCTTCTTCCAGTGGATCCTCCCCTTTCCAAATCCCAGATAGTATGCCTCTGTCTAAGAAAAATCCAGCACAAGAGAGTAAGAAATGCACAGTCCAATTTCAACCCACAATAGATACAAAGTTTGGAATAAAGATATCTCCACCTGGAAAGAAAAAAGACTTCACTTTTACTGGGGCTGCCAAGATGACATCAGAAAGCAAAGACACAAAGTAAGTTGAAGAGGTAAAATTACCAGCCATCACTTATTATAAGGGGTAAAATGCATCTGTCATTTATGGTGTTACCATATGAGAGGCCAGTTGAAAAGCATGCCCAGTTTTGAAGCTCTTCATTTAAATCATAAATGTAACTATGCTTATGCTTAGACAAATGTTTATCAGCTAATTATCATACTATGTAATAAACTAATTAACCTACACAAAAACTTTTTTTTACATATATTACATATAAAGCAGAGTTGGTAAGGTGAGAAATCATTTCATGGTGCACCATAAATTGGGTTAAACATAGTCTGTTGTAGATAATTTTAAAAAAAAGCTCTAAAGGCATATCTGTTAATTGCAGAAGTAAACCTGAGATAAAACCAGATATTAAGAAATCCAACAGGACCCGTCCCTGGCAGCACTCCGAGGTGACCAGACTGAAGGAGGACCTTGCAGAAATACAGGTAAAATATTATTTAATTCATAGTGTACCTCATAAAATGTTGAGATTCTAGGTATGATATATTTAAGTAGTAAAATAAGACTGATTAGTTGTAAAGTATACTCCATTTTGATACGCACATTCCTCTCCTGTCTGTGTGACTTATGTACTGTACATAGTTTTTGCAATTTATTTTAATCAGGCAAAACTGGAAGAAGCTGAGAAAGAAAATTGTACTTTGAATAATGAACTGAACGAGAGAAAGAAAAAAGACAAGGAAATCAAAGGTACTTGTGTGCGATTTGTAGATTGTGTTTAAAATGTGTATAGCAAAAAAAATGTAAATAAGTTGATATTTGATTTGTATAGAGTTGTGCAAATGTTTGATATAAGAAATTATAGAATTGATGAAAACCTTAATAAATTTGAAACAGCGATTGAATAATACTGATCATGATGTCTACCTTTTTCCAGATCATCTTAATGACTTGACATTGGAGAACAGTTCCTTAAAGAATAGGATGTGAGTTAAAATCATTCAACTGTATAAAGAAAAAAACCTTTTTTCAACATATAGAAAAATCAGACATAGAAGTTTGAAATCTTTACAAGTTCCATAAACTTTAAGTTAAATACTCTGTGATGTGTTGTCTGGATCCTGTGGATTTTATGAGGCTCCTGTAACTATGTATTCAATTTCAGAGAGAGAATTTTGGTGCTTATGTTTCATGCTATTTATTTTTATTTTTATTCAGATCATCTTGTGAAGTTCAATTAGAAAAGTGTCATATAGATCCAGGTAGGTGTAATAATACTTTTGTGATTTACAGCTTAGTAGAACATTACAACTTGCTGCTTATTTGAACATTTAACTTCTTATAGCACTCAGTAGAAGTACTCATAGATCTGCATTTTACTTCTTCACTTGCAGTGTTTTATTTATTATTGGTAATTTATTAAGCAGTGAAACTAAATACCTGGGCAAGATTTTAGAAGCCGTTGTCTTTACTTTACAGACTTGAAATAGAAGTTTTGTCAATAATTTTTGTTAATCAAATAAGCAAAGCTTGAGATTTTTTCCAGATTTATTTTATTTATTTTATTTATTTATTATTTATTTATTTATTTACTTTTCTTTACAGTTACATTACAACCATTGGATTTAGACCAGGAAGAAATAAAGAAGAGAAGTCAAGAAGCTCAGGTAATTGGATACTATTCCACAAAATATTTTTGAAGTAATGCCCAAAAAGTTGGGATTAAAAATCTATCAAAAAGTTTCTTTAGTTCTTGTCAGAAAATCTCCTATTTTGACTAATAAAAATGATAAGTTCTTGAGGAAAAAAAAATTGGAAATAATTTGGATGTGTGCAGTTTGCAAGCAATTACTGAAAAGGCAGTTTGTTAAAAAGATTAGTGATGTTAGATATTTCCTGTCCATATGTTACGTAAGACTTTGCTTCTTTATTAGTATTATCAGAGAACAAAGTTTTCATCCACCTGCTGTTCACTTAGGCATTTAGGCTGATGAAATTTGATAGTTTAGCCAATTTTGATATGTTAATAATCAATGTTAAAGAGTACTTATATAGTGTGGGCAGGCTAGACTAGTAATGTACAATAGAAATTAATTCACATTCTAAATTGTTGTTAAGTTATTTATAAATGAATTGGAATTGTGGTAGGTGTGCTGTCAGTGATGTTTCATATACAATAATTGATAGTTTTTCATTATTTCTTTCAGGCCAAAGCATCTGCATTGAGAGATGTGCTGAAACATAATGTAAATAACCAGTGCTATCTGGCGAGTTTGAAGGTGAGAATCTGTATTAATGTCTCATCTTTGAATATTGGAAATACGTCTTGCTTATCTTTACTCCTTCTAAATGCCATATTCTGGTAAAAATAATTTCTTATATCTGGAATAACAGCATTTCTTTATAGACAAAGGTTTAGTCATTCTTCTTTGTTTTTAATCTCAAAAACATGCCTAGTAAATCATCATCTAGCATCAGTGCCCCTGGTAAATAATCAAAGGCTATGTTGACTCCTCTGAATTTTGCACTTCAAAGTTATTTTATTTTTTATTCCAACTTTAGGAGATCAATGAGAAATGTGAAGCATATTTGAACAGCATGTAAAGGATGGTAATTAAGTCTGGATACAGTCAGTGTTTTCCTGCAAGAGCTTCAGAAAGTTGAAGACAGTAAATTGAGTAATGCGTATTTTATATAAATCAGCAGATATGCTTGTGGTGTAAACATTCAAAATTTTGTGAACCAGCTTGACTTATGAACGTGAATAATCATTTTTCTTTCCCTACAGCAGTTGAAAGGTTTAGTATTTAAAGCAGCTGCCATTAGAAGCTGCTCTTCTGGTTCAGCTGGAACATTTAGAACTGTTTAGTCTGGTATTTGAACTATGCATGGCAAACCACAACAGAATTTAGTGAACATTTATTTATATATTTATTTATTTATTTTGGTTATCAGTGCCCTGGGGGTATACTATTCACCGCATGAGGTATAAGTGAAAGACATAGACACTATTGTTGATTGATGTATACTTGATGTGCTGATTGATCAATGTGAGGTCAAGAGATATCACCAAGCTGGAATAAGAAAATGTTGTGTGTGTGTGTGTGTGTGTGTGTGTGTGATCGCAATCGCTTGGGTGATTCTCTTATGTTATAGCCCGGCTATTAAGTTGTCAGTCTCTAAAAACTTACCAGTACAGCTGTATCGCTATGATATATTACATATATAGCACATGGTTTGAAAAGGCCTTTAGTTCAGTGGCACTGGAGCAATCGGCTTATTATAGAAAGATTATCATAGGTCTGATGAACATTATATATATGTGGTATACAAAGGGTTAAGATCCTAGTATCGTTTTTCTTTGGACATGAGTGAATGTCACCAGACAAATTAGGAAATGAGTTAGTGAAAAGTGTAAGAATGGATACTGATATTAATATGAGTTGTGATGATTAATAGATCATATTATGGAAAAAACTCAAATATTTTAGCTTTGAAATTACATAAACTATTTCACGCTTTCTAAGGGGATTTTTTCATTTTTCTCATGAAATCTGTTTTGTATCAAAATAAGTCTAATGATAAGTTTATAATTAAGAAAAGCATAATTGATCGTTAAATTTTACATGACAAAATCTAGACATTTTTTTCAATGATTTCTTGAGGTTTATCCTTTCTCTTTCACTGTTGTTTGGCACTGCAAGTCATTCGTTTCTTTTGCTACCGTCTTTAGGCATACGTAGTTTTATGGAATTTTGTGAATTGGAAAAGTGAAAAATATGACGCTGAAACAACAATGAAACAATACACAGTCAAAGAACGTGTATGCAATTTTTTTGCTATCTCATTCCAGGCCTGCAATTAACCTGTATATACGAAATGTCACCAAAACATTAGTTTAAGAAAAATAAAGTCAATTCATAAAATTTTGTGGTTCTTTGTTTATCTTTAATATGCTCGATTTAGTGTTACGTTTTTGTATTCAATTGGGACAAGGAATTTTGGTGGCCTTATAGTTTGGTCTATGTATCCTGCCAAATTAAATATATACCTCTCATATGTGCATTTTTATGCTAATTTCCACATAAAATGAAACCTCGTTTAAAATTATTTTCAAAAGGGACACCAAAATAATTATTTGAAATTCAAAAATTTAAAAAAGGTATGTTGACTCAGAAGTTATAATTTTAAATATTTTCAGTGTGAAACCGGCTAATTGCACGACCGCGTATTTCGCTAGCGTATCATAAAGAACATCTTTATGCCGCACCTCGTTTTTTCACTTCCCATTTGTGCTTGTTTCTAAATTAACTTCGATCAGTTTTGAAATAATACTAAAACTTTCCTGCAGAATTTGAAAACTTGCTGTTTTTCATTTTTGTTAATCACCAGACCTACCTAGTTAGGCAGAAGTACCTAATTTAGCATGACCCATGTCGGTATGCACTTAAACGTACCTAGGGACCGTCAACTCGACTGCCTGTTGTAAATGGCGCGGAATAAAAACACTCGATCCCTTAAAACTCTCTCTTTCTCTCCCAGGAAGTATAATTATTCATGTCAAATCGATGTATTCTGGCGGTCTCTTTTCTTTCTATGAGTATTTGATGACCCGGTTGTCCTCCTCTGAAGAGAATGACCGGAATAGATTTGATAGAAAGACCATCGTCCAATAATAGTGATATCAGTGAGTCGTATCCCTTATCTCGTTTCCTCATATCATGTTAAGTATTTACAAAGAAATAATGGACCACTCCAAATCTATCGTGTAGCATCTTAGCGGTTTCGATGTCATCTTCGATTTCACTGCCGGAATTAATTCATAGACTACAGTGTTCCTTCTCATGTTGGGTTATATTCTTTACAATTTTAGTTACTCATTATTTTTTTTATTTTGCGAGGAGAACTGATTTAAAAGGAAAAAATAGATTAGTCATAACTTTCGCTTTTTTTTTTTTTTTTTTTTTTTTTTTTTTTTTTTGTAAAATGAACGATGAAAATGTTTTTTATCACTTTTCGTGTGCACATATATCTTAAATGAGACACCAAAAGGCTTTCATAGCATTGGGGCTACGTTTCTATGTAGAAACTTTAAATAGTGCATTATGAGATATACCAGTTTGTAAAACTTAAAAATTCTTCTTATATTCATTCTTTCATTAAAATACGACCCATGCAATTACCATTTAAAACTCAGGAAATACTAAGCTACTGAATGACCGGAGGTTGTTTTGTGAAGTTATGTTGGAAACAACGAGTCGAGAGCACGAGAGAATGACGGAATGTGACGTCACGCTCTACGGGCTGTCATGTACTGCTATTTGTAGGCACAGGAAAACTTAACTTCTTCAGAAACTTGTCCATGAGTTGGCAGCCCATATCGAAATTTCTGGACATAGGCCTGAAATTTGTCTGAAACTTCCACAGGCGAAGGTAGGTTATATATACTGAAATGTATGTATTGAACGTCAATGTCAAACTTGTTGAAGCTTAAACAATAAGAATGAGCAGCAAAGGTGAGGCATTTAACACTAACTAATTAATAATAATCTATAAGATATGTTATTCACGAGTGAGGATATCCAAAACTGAAAACTTAGAATGCTTATGAGTCCTAAAGGTAAAGAAGCCTTACTTGTTTTGTGGATTTTTTTTTCGTAAAACGAAGTCGAAAGGGTAATGCGTCTCAAGCGTGACCCACACAAAAGTGAGATTCATATCACTTGTTAACAAGAAAAAAATCATTCGAAACAGAAATGTTTTCTGGGCAATGATACAATCAAATACAAGCAGAGATGGGAAATTCTTTATGAAATCGCAGCAAAAGTGAATTTAATGCATTGCAATATTTGAATCATAGCATCTTTTCTCCAGTAGGTCTACACTGCATTTTGGTGATTTGCATGTCCCTCGGGTGCTTCACCCCAAGCCAAACAAGAAGTATCGGAAGTAGCACGGTTCAAAACGCACTTAGCCCATGCCAGCGTGTCACGCGGAGAAGCAGTGACAATGTTGACGGCAACACAACTGGTATGAATAATTCATTGTGATTTTTAACTTGGTAAATGGTACAATATTCTCTTTTCAATATTCCGTCAAGATTACCTGTTAAATTCCATCTTACAAAAATGGGTTGGGAGGTGTGAACATGGATTTGGAATAAAATTCATTTTCACGATCAATTTCTGTGTAATTTTTATCATAACCGTTACTACATGTATTATCATATTTTAAAACTCTATTTCTTTTTAACAGGACTGAGTTTTGATCGAGATCGAGCACTAAACGATATTAAATCGGTGAAGGAACATATACAAAAAGTCTATGAAATTTTAGTAAGTACTTTAGATATTCATTTTCTCACCAGTTTTGACTTCACAAATTTTCAACTTAAAACAAACTATCCTTGCATAGATTAGTTTTTCTCCCAAAGCAGAGGGTATCAGATTGGTCTAAGTATTACATGTAGAGCTTAAGAGGGAAGCTCTTTGTCACAACAAGACAAACGTCAAGATTGATTTGTAGGCAATATGTAACTTAAGTATGCTATTTTTTAAAGTTTAAGGATTTAGATTGCACCAATTCTATTAAAAAAGAACAAATTCGAGAACACGCGGGGAGCTCTCGATAGTGTAAACCTAATTTTTCTGTAAAGAAAACTTGTTTACAAAAAGTCCTTTAAAAGGACGGAAATATGAAATTGACATTTGACATAAACTAGTGAAAATATTGAAAACGCAATCAAAATCAGTTTTAATGGAGTTGTCTATAGACATGTCTATGGACATGCTGTATTAACCATCAAGGAAAGTAATGTAAACCTGTTTTTTAAAAATAATTTTTACTTTATCCTAAACTACGACATCAACACAAGAAAGCAATATTAATGATACCGGTTTTATCTTTAGATCAACGACGGCGGTGTTTGCCAAGGCTCAAATGACTGTACGACAGGTGACACGAAGGTAAATTTAGTGACACTTAAAAGCCTTACTCATCATGTGCTGTTACGTAATGGGGCCTATCCATCCGTCAATCAATTCATATTGCTGAAATTTGAATGGCTATTTTTTATTTTTATTATTAACGGATATTCTATTGAGTCAATTGTTTATTTGAGGAATATTTTCCATGTGATTATTAATAAAAGCATAGAAATTACTGAAATAAAAGTCAACGTGACTGACTTTCTCAGGATGCTAGAACTTGTGTACATTGTCTTGATAAAGGTTGTGGTATTGCAACGGTAAATTCACTATCACAGGAAGTAAAACTGGATCCTCATTCTTATCATTGCAGGACAGTCAACAAAACGACACAGCATCACATTACGTTTCTCTGGCATGGTTCACGGCAGCAATCGCCAAAGCAGAGAAAACTGCAAAGGACGTCGGTTCAACAATTCATCAAGATCTGCACGTACTTTACAGCAAATTGCTCGTTCTTCAATGTGAACTGAAGAGGACTCAAGATTCCGACAGGATCAATTCACATCTTGTTGTCAGCATTGCAAAACTTATGGCAGAGTCCCTAACAGGCCAGAAACCGGACAAGGCATCCGTGAAGGACGTCACAGTGTGTATTTTGCGCGGGTTACAGTGTCACATATCGCGTATGGAACAGGGTCCCTTGATCGGGAAGTGACCGAGAAGTGACCTAAATANTTCCTCTCCTGTCTGTGCGACTTATGTACTGTACATAGTTTTTGCAATTTATTTTAATCAGGCAAAACTGGAAGAAGCTGAGAAAGAAAATTGTACTTTGAATAATGAACTGAACGAGAGAAAGAAAAAAGACAAGAAAATCAAAGGTACTTGTGTGCGATTTGTAGATTGTGTTTAAAATGTGTATAGCAAAAAAAAATGTAAATAAGTTGATATTTGATATGTATAGAGTTGTGCAAATGTTTGATATTAGAATTTATGGAATTGATAAAAACCTTAATAAATTTGAAACAGTGATTGAATAATACTGATCATGAGGTCTACCTTTTTCCAGATCATCTTAATGACATGACAATAGAGAACAGTTCCTTAAAGAATAGGATGTGAGTTAAAATCATGCAACTTTTTAAAAAACAACCCTTTTTTCAACATATAGAAAAATCAGACATAGAAATCTTCACAAGTTCCATGAACTGTAAGTTAAATACTCTGTGATGTGCTGTCTGGATCCTGTGGATTTTATAAGGCTCCTGTAAATATATTTAGTTTCAGAGAAAGGATTTTGGTGCTTATGTTTCATGCTTTTTATGTTTATTTTTATTCAGATCATCTTGTGAAGTTCAATTAGAAAAGTGTCATATAGATCCAGGTAGGTGTAATAATACTTTTGCGATTTACAGCTTAGTAGAACATTACAACTTGCTGCTTATTTGAATGTTTAACTTCTTATGTAGCACTCAGTAGAAGTACTCATAGATCTGCATTTTACTTCTACACTTGTAGTGTTTTATTTATTATTTGTAATTTATTAATGAAACTAAATACCTGAGCAAGATTTTAGAAGCAGTTGTCTTTACTTTACAGACTTGAAATAGAAGTTTTGTCAATAATTTTTGTTAATCAAATAAGCAAAGCTTGAGATTTTTTCCAGATTTATTTATTTATTTATTTATTTACTTTTGTTTACAGTTACATTACAACCATTGGATTTAGACCAGGAAGAAATAAAGAAGAGAAGTCAAGAAGCTCAGGTAATTAGATAATATTCCAAAAAATATTTTTGAAGTAATGCCCAAAAAGTTGGGAGTAAAAATCTATCAAAAAGTTTCTTTAGTTCTTGTCAGAAAATCTCCTATTTTGACTAATAAAAATGATAAGTTCTTGAGGAAAAAAAAATGGAAATAATTTGGATGTGTGTAATTTGCAAGCAATTACTGAAAAGGCAGTTTGTTAAAAAGATTAGTGATGTTAGATATTTTCTG